ATTTATTGATTTTAAATTTGATTAATATATAATACAAATAAAAATTATAATTACTATAAGTTAATAATTATTATTATCTATTAATTAAAAAAAGTAAGAGAGAGAGAGATGGAAAGAGAGAGAAAAAGTTTTTCAAACTTTTAACAATTTAATGTTATTCAAGGTAATTTTTTTTGACTTTTTTAATAGGTGGGATGCAAATAACAACCCCTAATTAAAACCAATAAAGAAATTTAAAAAACAAAGATTATTGTATCAACATCCTTTTTATTACAATATTACATGATCTTGAAACCAAAAAACTTGATGAATACATGATATTGTATGGTGTATGAGAGAATATATCTATACTATATCATAAAACGTTTGACAAAAACTCTTAAAAACTATTTTTTATGCATAAAGTATTATTTATTGATGCATATTATTTAAAATTCAAGATTATAAGTAATTTGTGCTTAAACAACTTATTAAAGCTTCATGCTTGAATTCGTATAATCAAATATAAGATAAACATCTTCTTTTAAATACCAAAAATCTAAAATATAATTAAGATAATAATTGAGTTTTAACAAAATACTTAATTATTATCTTTATAAAAAAATTATATTGTTAAATCTAAAATAAATTATTTTGTTATTAAATTATAATAAAAATTAAACTAAAAATTGTACAAAAAAGAGAACTTTTTAAACTGATATTTAATATTAATATCGATGTAAATTTCTATGTCGCCCTCAAATTTATATTTTTGTTCAAATATAAAAATATTATCGGTTTTGTGAAATATATATATATATATATATATATATATATATATATATAATTGAAGGTGTTTGAAAATGGAATAGAAAGTATCGTACCTTTTATATATATAGCTTAGGTAGTTGGTTCACTTGGTTGGGCGGAAAGCTCTAAACAAAGGATGCTTATCTGAGGAATAAAAATAGATGATAAGAAGTAATTAGTTGTTGGTTGTGAAAAGTAATTGTTGTTTTAAGTAAAAACTACATATTCCTATTATTAACTGCATTTATTAATTTGTGGTTGTGAAAAATCCAAGTGTTGGATTGTAGGCGTAGATCTCCAGTAGCTATATTATATATCATGAGAAACATGATCATAAAAGATATTTAATAAATATACCACATACCTACATAATTGATATGGTATCCACCATTAAAGCGGTTTCGGTGTAGGTGATATTCTCCAGGAGTAGTAGTTTGAAAAGGAGAGAGATCCCCACCAATTATATGATTCCACGACTTGTAATAACCCAAACCATCATCTTCATCATACACAAAACTCACCCCACACTCCCTTCTACCATAAAAATCTGATACGAAAATAGTAATTTGGTCACCATCTTCCATCTCTTTCTTCCCAAACATCCAATGGCTTAAATATGTTATACCCTCTCTACTTACCCTAGAATACTTTAGAGCAGGATAGATCCAGGTGCACATCTTTGTTATATTACTAATCTTTAAATATAGAGAAGTTAAGAAATCTCCATAATTTGTTAACTTTCCAGGTGTAATCACGCAGAAGAAATTCAAGCCTCTAAGGTTGCAAGGAGATGATGGGATGGTAAATGAGATTGATGACCCCTTCCACCTTCTATCACTTATGCAATCTGGCATCTCTTTCCCCACATACCATGTGCTGAATATCCCAAATTCATAAACCATCTGCCAAATAAAAGCTTCATTTATTATATCTACATATTTATCACACAAACAAAAATAGTTAATGAGAACAAACCTCGACACTTCCACTTTCTGTCGGTTGAATTTTGGTGAAGTCTAAATTAACTAAATGACTCCACCCCAAACTAAGTAATACCTTTTCCTCAACATCTTCCATATCTTCCTTTTTACAAATACCTTCAAACTTTTCCCAGTCATATGTAGCCATCCTACAGGTTAACAGGATTGGGGACATTTCTCGATTAAATGTAGCTTCCCCATATCCATCAAAATCAAATATCAGATCTTTTAGTGTAGGTGGAGGATGCTCCAATGACTCCAGTCTATCATTCTTACCAATACCAAGTATCTCAAGCCTGGAAAGGCTTCTCACCCAATTGGGCAGTGAAACGAAAAGATTTCTATCTAAATACAACTCCTTCAACATGGATAGGCTACTCATATCCTCTGGAAAAGATTCGTTGGACAATTTACAATCTTGAAGCTGCAAGCATACTAATGAGCTTGGTAAATAAATCAGATAGGAATTGAAACCTCTTGGTATAGCCTCCACAATGGCAGAGGAAGAGGTTTGTGAGTTCATACCAATGTTGTTACGGTTGAGCTTTTCCTCCACGTCATTTCTCATCTCGATCGGAGTTTCACCAAGGTTACAACCATCTAAATTTAGTATTTTGACGTTCTTCACCTTGTTTATCATTCTTAAAAGCTTCCCAGCGTTATTGCAGTAACTCAGATCAATGAGGTCAAGTCCATCATATTGCTCAATTGACTCACAAACCTCAATCAAACTTGAGCAATTTGAAAGTATTAGCCTCTCAAGTGCAGGGAATTCAAAAAATCCACCAATACTCCGAAGTTGTTCACAGAAACTCAGATTAAGAATCTTCAATGATCTAAGCAACCGCTTGCTTTTTGAGCATGAGCCACTTAACTGTACAAATGGAGATAAGGTGGATGTTAAGTGAATTGCATAAAACCACCATAGAAGTAACAAAAATTAAAGTAGATGCTACAAGTTTCTTACCTTTTGCCTCGTCCCAGGTTGTTGTGGGTTACCATCAGACATATCAAAAGATTCCAAATTGCTGTAAGACATGTCAAGCATAACCATATTCTCCATTGGTAAGTCTAAAGGTAAAGACTTTAAAGGGAACCCATGCATGGCAAAGAGTCAAAGCTCATTTGCAAGACCTTTTTAATACGAGAATTGGGTTCTTCCTTTAGCCTTTCTAAACAATCCTCCCATTCATCTACATCTCCATTATGTAGAGACTTACCCAAAATTTCAAGAGCCAATGGATGTCCCTCACAATACTTCACAAGCTCTTTTGAAACCTCTTTAAAACCTTCTTTGGGATTCTTACACTTGAATGCACACAAACTTAAAAGCTTTAAGGATTCATACTCATCTAAGCCTTCAAGTAAGTGCTTTGTATGCTTGGGTCGAACTATCTGGTTGAATAGCTCACAYTTTTCTGTCAACGAGGCGTCCTTGGTTGTTATTATGATTTTGCTTCCWGGATGAAAACCTTTGTTTCCAAGTAATGCATCCAATTGATTGAAACTATCAACATCATCAAGAACTAGAAACACCTTTTTATGTGCTAGTGCATTCTCAATCTGAGATGTGTATATAGAAACATCATGAACTTGAATTGAACTGTTCTTTGAAATGTCACCGCAGATTTGTTTTTGTAAATCAAGCAATCCATTCAATTTTTCAGCACATCTCCTACTGATATCTTCAACACAACTGCTTCTTTGGAATTCATGACAATGCAACCAAAAGAGATACTTGGCCAARGATGTCTTCCCAATCCCTCCCATGCCTAAGATTGTGAGAATGTCAGCGGTAGGAGAGGATCCATCTTTTAACCAATAGGTAATGAATTTTATGTGATGGTGCATGCCGATAAGGAGCGGCAGCTTTACTTTTAAGGGTACACCTAATTTACGACGGATATCTGTAACAATTTCTTCAATTAACTCCGTCTCTTTCCTGAAAATTGATTTTAATATGAAATTTGGAACATCAATTTGAAAACTAAAAAAACCAAATCCATCCAAAATATATGACATTTTGTTATTGTTATTTTTAATTATGTTTTTCTGCCGGTGTCATATGACGTTACATTTGCAAAAAGATTGTTATATATATGTAGATAACTTATCTAAATGATTCAAATAGTCGAATATTTAACATTTTCCTGGTCAACCAAAATAATTCTCTTTATATAATAGCTTAAATGATGTCAMTTAAAAACAAATATTTCTTATATTGAATTTTTGGTCAATAAAAAAGAGTTGCTATTGTTTCATTTCGGGAGCTTGACGAAYKTACAAAGCTCATGCATATTCAGGGCCAATACGTTATTTTTCATTTCAGGAGTTTTAGCTTCGATTAGTAGACTTGAACCCGGAACTAGTCGGATGGACTAGATAATTTCCTTGTTAAATAAGTATAAATCCCTCCCTGCGAATATGAACAAAATCTCCCCAAAAAGTTAAAGATCATCCTTTGTTACTTATAAGTAGGGGTAGTTCAATAGTAATTAAGATCCCTGTATTACCATTGCAATGTTATGATCCAAAGATTGAATGATAAAATATTAGATGCAAACCAAATTGTTTACCATGTCTTCTAAGTTTGTTAGAATTATTTTTTCTAAAGCAATCATATTAGAATTATGGAAATGGTTTTTCTATCAAGATGAATTGACCTATGGATCATATGCTTGAAAAGTATACTCAAGGATGCATCTTCAACCAATTTATTAAACTGAAAATAGACCAGATATGCATATTTATGGTATTAAAGAAAATACTAAATTGCATAGGGAAGTAGATTATTACCGATCCTTTGCACTTTTTCCTTTTAAATCAGCAACTTCTGTCAATGCTTTATTCCATAGCTCCATTTTTTTAGACCAAAGATTTCTTCTCTCTTCATTTGTCTCTGTCTCCATCCTCTGTTTATGCTTCGCCATTGCATCTCCGAAGTTGGATTGTTGCTTCCTGACATCGGTGGGCTCGACATGATAGAAGATGGGGATGACAATATGGTTGGAGGTCCTATATTGTTCGAAGATCAATACTAGTTCGCCAAGACACCATGTTGAAGAAGCATAATTCTGAGACAACACGATAACAGAAGCCCTGGATGTTTTGATCGCACTCTCCAATTCCGGTTTCAGATCTTCTCCGGTTTCGATCTCTTCATCGTCCAAGAAAGTTGTGAGATTAGTTTCGATCAAGGTCTTGTAGAGGTGATCTGTGAAATTATGACGAGTGTCAAGACCTCTAAAACTTAAAAATACGTYATATCTATATTGATCACGGCTTGAAGAAGATGAAGATTCTTCGGAGATAACGACCATTATGAATTATGAGAAGGTATGATCGAGAGATATTTGATGGAGAGGAGAAGGATATATGATAATGTGAAGAATAATGGATCCAAGAGGCAGTATAACTTCTCATAACAGTGGAAGCTCAAGTCAAAGTCAACAACTACTTTTGTTAAGGAAATATTTTGGAAATTTACTTAATAAATATATCAAAACAAGATTTTATTAATATAATCAAAAATAAACATTAATGAACTTGAACATATTTTATGATGAAGAATTTTTTTTGTAAATAAACATATATTTCAGAATAATAATCACATGGTTGAATCTGTTAATCAATAAAATAAAAACAAGTCTATTTTCGATTTTCCATATAAATTTGATAGAAGTTGTTTAAAGATGTTTTTTATCGTGTTATTTTGGTTCTTAAGTGTGTTTTTGGGTTCTATGCTTTGTTAAAAATTTGTTATTTTCGTTTCGTAAATTGGTTCTTTGCTACTCATGTTTGAAATTAATATGTATATAATATACATGGATATGTAATTAAATAAAAAGGATCAAAAACGTGAAACATTAATTTGGATGGTAATATCTTGTTTCATCTACAAACTAGAAGCAGAAAAGAATATTGAATATTTTATTAAACGAAGTCGTTTTCTCACTATTTTAATATATTAAGAAAAGCAAATACAAACATGAAATAATAAAATATGAATATATTTAAGAATATGAATTATTATGTGATATATATAAAAGTCGTGTCTGGTGTGCATCAACCAAATGCGATATATAAATATAATATAGAACAAATTTTTCGTCGGTAAACTTTTTCCATCTTCTTCTAAAACAATAACCAGTTTTTATTTTAAAAATAAAAATAATAATTTTCAGACAGATTTTCGACGGAAATTTCATCGGTAATTCTATTTAAAAACTTTTTTCTTGATTCAAAATATGAAAATGCTTTTTAGTTTTAATGAACACAAAATAATTATCGACTCCGTCGAAAAATCCGCCAAATTTTTTTTTAATAAAGCTTATATCTAATTATTTACCGACGGATTCTCCGCTAGAAATCTGTCTGAAATTTAGCTGGTACGGGAAAAAAAACCAAAAAACCTCCTAATTTAAAATCCTAAAATATAAAGATCCTGTAAATTAAATACAAATATACAATACACAAATTTGTCATAAATACCTAATATGATTATCCGAACGAAATAATATACATATATAAATTCGATTGATGTTACTACTTCATAAATATACTATATCAAATCTATTGCGGTGGGATCGACGGAAACTGTTAACATTGTGTAAACCTCTTCATCATATCCATCATGTATACATGCCACGGACCATCTGCTTGTACAGAAGCACTACTAGATCCTGTATTAGGTGTAGATTGGCTAGTAGTATTCTAATATATACATAAATACATCTGATTTAAGCTATAAATGAACTTGGAACTTAGGATATTAAGATTTGCAGTAAAATTGTCTTGGAGAGACCTAAAGGAGTAGGCTTAATGATTATACAGATAATAGTGGATCCAACAAATAATGAATTTAATCGATAGTGGAAGCCCAAGTCAAGTCAACAATATCAAAAGCAAACATGAATGAATTTAAAAAGAAAAAGACTTCATGATGACATTTTGTCTTTGTAAATGTGAGAAAGATATGATCAGTATGACTTGCCATATTCTCATCATCTCCTAACAATTTAATGGATCCAATTCTKCWATATMTGTGAATGTAGCTTTAAAATTAAAGACAAGATTGATAAATAATATCATAATATGACAGTTTCGTCACATACTATAATGGATAAGAATACAATAAATTGTACGTTAACATAAGCTCGTTATTGATAATTCATAACTTAAGTCTTATAAAAAARCTCACAAATTTCACTCTATCAATGTCACCTAAAATGTTAAAAAACAAATGACCATTCCCTGGAAGTCCGTCATTACTCATCACAACATTATCGGGTTTATAGGACGCCTAAAGTTTAATTGTCCTAATAGAGTGCTCTACAGGACTTAAGTTGACATGATTAAAGAATAAAATGTCATATCTAAAAGTGTTACAATAAGTCTATAGGACGCTTTTGAACATCCTAACATGTTTTTAGAACATTTTTTAAAGTAAAAAGTTGTATTAGCTATTTTATAGGATATTTTTGACAAATGTCTTGTAAACCCATCYTTTTATAGGACACTCATGTTTATAGAACACTTTCTCAAACAGTCCTATAAAATAGCTAATACGACACTATATTTTAAAAAATGTCCTAGAAAACTTATTACGATGCCTAAAAACGTAATATAAACTTATTGTAACATTTTTAGATAGGATGTTTTTTTTTTGGTCCTATAGACTTAGGTCCTATAAGCCACTCCATTAGGATATTTCAACACTTTAGGGGTCCTATGTATGAACTCAATTTTGTCGTAGTGACTAAAGGGAAGTTCGGTTCATTTTAAGAATAGAGATGGGAGTGAAAATAAATTATGATTGAGGATGGATTTGAATATACTCATTGCATTATTTAACATTGTTTTGCATCAAAGGGAACCCATGCATACACAACCATCTTAATTTTTTAGAGAAATTCTTATAAGATCCATCGATTTTTTTTAGACCAAATATTTATTCTCTCTTCATTTGTCTCTGTCTCCATCTTCTGTTTATGCTTCGCCATTGCATCTCCGAAGTTGGATTGTTGCTTCTTGACATCGGTGGGCTCGACATGATAGAAGATCGGGATGACAATATGGTTGGAGGTCCTACATTGTTCGAGGATCAATATTAGTTCGTCAAGACACCATGTTGAAGAAGCATAATTCTGAGACAACACGATAACAGAAGCCCTGGATGTTTTGATCRCACTCTCCAATTCCGGTTTCAGAWCTTCTCCGGTTTCGATCTCTTCATCGTCCAAGAAAGTTGTGAGATTAGTTTCGATCAAGGTCTTGTAGAGGTGATCTGTGAAATTATGACGAGTGTCAAGACCTCTAAAACTTAAAAATACGTCATATCTATATTGATCACGGCTTGAAGAAGATGAAGATTCTTCAGAGATAACGACCATTATGAATTATGAGAAGGTATGAGAGATATTTGATGGAGAGGAGAATGGATTTATGATTATGTGAAGAATAATGGATCCAAGAAGCAATATAACTTCTCTTTAACAATGGAAGCTCAACGTAAAGTCAACAATTGGGGCCGTTTGGTTCGCGGAATTCGAAGGAATTTGATGGAATTGGAATGACAAATTCCTTTSACCAAATTCCAATTCCTTTGTTTGGTTCATTTCTTGAATGGATGGAATCCTTCAAATTCCATTGAATTCCACAAGTTAATGAATTCATCATTCCTTGGCATAATGGAAGGAATTGAATTCCATCACCATCCACCACGATCATGCTACTATTGTTCATGATGCCCCACCCTTAACCCCYACCACTGATGTCGCTGCCACCCACCTAACCACTATGCCCATAYTGTTGTCATCACACCCACCCACCCTCCGGTCACTCACTACACATCCCTACTACGACTATGCTACTAACGTWASTRTCACACCYYTAACCTAACCMCCACCACCACAACATTATTGTCGTCGTCACAACTGCCACTCACCCTACCACACCCTACCCTAACCACCACTAGCCACTATGTCACTACTGTCGTCATCATACCCACCCACTCCCAATCACCCTGACCATCATCCCACCACTATCATCGTCACAACTGTCACTGATCCTCACCTCCCCGCCCCTGCCGCCCTTAACCTAACCCTCCACCCCCACACTACTATTGTCGCCTTCACAACCGCCATTCACCCGCACCCCACCCTACCCCAACCCACCACTAAACACCATGCCACTATTATTGTCGTCATACCCACCCACTCCCTGGCCACAGCCTCCCGATCACTATCCCACCACTAGCATCATCACAGCTACCACCCCGTCACCTAACCCTACCCACCCCACCGTCCTGCCTTGCCCCCACCCTACCTTACCCTACTCTAACCTATCACTAACCACCATCCTACCACTGTARTTATCACAACTATCACACTGCCACCTATTACCCCACTCTGGCTTCACCCCCACTGCCTCGCCCCACCCCTGCYTGCCCACAACAATCCCCACCTATGGAGCAGGGTAGGGCAGAAGTGGTGGGGGCAGGGCAGGTGATAGTTGTGACGACGACATTAGTGACATGGTGGCTGGTAGGGTGTGGGCAGGGCGATGGATGGGATAGTCCATACAAAGATGATTGTTCCAATTCT